CCTTTGTGCTGCAAAAGCCAGCATAAGTTCTGTTTTTCTAATGCTTATATATAGGCATTCAGAAGCTCCTTAACACAGTTTAATGAGGCATATATTTGTGTCATCTGTGGGTGAATAAGTTTCCAGGTCACCAAACATTTTTCTGAAATTACATATTTCCTTTTACATTATTGATACATAGAACAGATGCCAGGAAATACTTCAAGTAGATGTAAATTCCTTTGGAGGCCATCTGAACTAGCAACAGTATAACCAGGCAAACAAAATATAACCATTTTATCTTTCCATTAGACTGTTTAGTAAAAATCCTGGGTTTTGAGACTGCTCCAGAATAGGTGATGGATTAAGTATATGTTGAAAAAGGTTGAGCTGAGATTACAGTCCACTATTAAATAATACATTTTGAAGTCTTAAGAGGCTGGGATGAGCTCTTGTCAGATTCCCTACATGTCATAGACCATAGGATTTCACCAGGTGCATCAAAATAGTAACTTCTAGTTTAGCTAGGTGATTTTTAGAAAGAAATTCAATCTTGATTTAGTCTTCAGGGCTAAGTCCAGACAGTCAAATGGCCTGAGGCTAAATCAATTCAGTCTTTGCAGGTTAGTAGTCTAAAATGCAGAGATTAAATTGAGAAACAACTGGACACACCTTCACTTTTGATTCAGAAAATTCAGCCACATGCCTGCAGTGGCTCAGGCCAAAGGTCAGGGGGTAGTAAAGCATGGCTCTCTGGCACATAGACAGCATGGGATGTGTATTCACTTCCTCTTTCTGCTGCCCCCAAGGTCTCTGGGATTTGTGGTCCAGAATCACAGTAACAGGACTCTGCAGAATTGCTCATCACGTCTTGCTTCCAGGTGCCTCTGGAACTTGCAGTCCACAGTAGCAGCCAGCAGTAACTTTCAGGAAGTTTAGCAGGGCAGGGCAGCTCTGTATGCAGGGGAAACGGGGTTTAGCCAGGGGAAGTAGAGATGATCCTCCCCCTCTACGCGACGCTGGTCAGGCCACA